CAATTAAGAGACATAAGAAAATGGGTTGAACTTCGGGGCGGGGCTATGGGGGTGGTTGAGATTTCCATTTCCTTTCTTGCCCAACTAAAGGTTTTCATTTGATGTGCATATTAAGCAGTGCACGTGGCATAAAATCACATTAATTGGATGTCTTTAATTAAATTTTTTGTAATTTCATATCTTGCACTTTATTTACAGAAAGTTTAATTTTAGGAAAATAATACGGATACAATAGCAAAAATTAATAAAGTTTTTAACTTTAATCTTGTTTTAAAAAGAAATATATTGATTGATTATCTGTTTTTGTTAAATACTTAATGAATTTTAATGAATTCTTAAAGATTTCACATGAAATGGAATATTTTAGATTTAGTAAAATAAACATTAAATGGCATCGAAAGCCAATGGAACCTGATACTAAAATATGTTTTCCCCGGTGTGTGGAAGACCCATTCTCTAGATGAAAAATATTCACATTTGGTGCAGTTGAAGCTTACTCAATTTCAAGTAATCTTTGCCCTGAATATCCTGGATTCTATTTACTCTGTCCGCACCGAAATCCAACCCTTCCCCCCATTATTTGCCTATAAAATGAGCTTTCGGTTACAGTTTGGGCCATTGCCTTGGGGGCGGAATAACCTCATCATCAACGTGCACCTGATCACTGGACATATGCTGGGACTTCTAATATTGTTATCTGCTCCCATTACGAACACACACAACCACACACACAGACACACACACAGGAGGCAACACCTTGATGTGAACTTTGACCGTTTTGGTAACTCATTTAGTTAGATTATTTACGGTAATCCAAGACGCCAGCCACAAGCCAACCGCCAACTTAACTGCAGGCACTCTCAGTTGGCCAGGCTATCTCCAGCTCCATCTCCATTTCCATTTCCTTTATTTTCCTGCTGCTGCCCTTCCGGATAAACTACTTACCGAGGTATGAGTATCTACGGGCTAAATACATGCAAGTTGTTTTGCTAAATTGTGCGTAAGCTCAGCAGGAGCAGCATCACCAGCAGCAGCAGCAGCAGCAGCAGTAGCAGCAACAAGGATCTTCGGGAAAGTTTCTCAAGCTCTGCCATGCCAATTCAAATAACACTTTTATTTCGCTCTCAGATGGCCCTCTCCTTTTGGCCCTGTTTGGTACGTGTCTGCGGTGTTTGTATGTGTTACATGATTGCCGCGCCCCCTTTTCCTTGAGTTCACCTGTCGCACCTGTCCCACCCTTTTTTGTTGCGGGGCAGCACACAGCTTCATCCTTGGTATAAGGCTGCTGGCAGCTTGTGTGCGTGCGCTCATTAGCATTCTGAAACGGCTTTATAAAATTCAACAAGCAACCCAAGTTGCATGTTTTCTAGGAGGGATGGGCAAGGCTGTGGATGGGGGTGTGGGTGTGGGTGGCATCTCATCACCCACCACCCACCGCCCACTCTTGTCTGAGGCTGCATGTCTCTGCTGTTGTCCTTGTTGTTGCCTAGTTTCTCTGTCTTTATCTAAGCTTACACACAGCAAACAAATATGCACAAAAATCTAATCCAAGTAAAAGCATGTTTCCCTCTGAAAATTTATACAAAGCTTGAAATACGAATAACAGTTCGTTTGTTCAGGAACTTCATTGAACAATAATTTTTTTCAAAACCTTCTTAAGTTTAGCTTGAAAAGAATTGCCAAATAGTATACTACACTGTGTTTTTCATTTAAATTGCACCCTAAAATAAAAAAGGTCTAGCAAATTCAATACAATACAATTTTTTAAACGCACTTTAAATGAGCCGATTTTTAGGTTTTGAAAATATTGATTTCTAATATTAAGTTTAGTTTCTATTTCTAGCTTTCAGTTTTGTTAATGAAATTCTCTTATGTTAAATAGAAGGATATATTATTTATTTAAAATATATTTCCTAGTCCCATTGTTTTGCAAAGTGTATTTGTGTGTGCGTTTTTTCATTGTTGTTGGTTGCACACATTCTGTTGTTATCCTGAGCGCTCCACCCCTCTCGCTCTGCGGCTATCTCTGGCTCTGTCTTTCGTGTGGATGCCGGTCTGCCTCGAGTTGCATAAATTGAATCTGAATTTGTGAGTAAATTGCACACAGGAGACACATTATTTTTGAGTTTTGCCTTTTAAATTTGTGGCTTTTCACTTTGAGTTCCCCCGCCTGCTCCTGCCCCTGCGCCAGTGGCAGTGCCACCCCACTCATCCAACCCTCCCTCCCCCTCCAATTGCAACAATCTCTGTCCTCAACTTTTGTGGCACTCGCCTCCGTTTCACTCGGCAATTTTGTGTGACCCACTTGAACGTTGGATTGAAGTTACGCCTACTGAACCACTCCAAGCTCTCAGCCACCTCAACGCCCCCGTTGGCCACCCACCAGAGCACCCATTTAAATCAATATTAATAGGTGCAGGCCTCTTTTTCGCAAATTGCACATTGCACAAATTGTTCGTCTATAAATACGATAAAATGTTTATTTAATATGTACCAGACCGTGCCAGCTGTACGAGAATCCGGAAAGCCAATACCAGGACAACAACAACATTTATAATGACTTATCCATAGCACGTAGATGGGCAGGAAAAGCGAGGAAAATCAAAGACACACACAGAAAGCAGAAAACCGAAAACAGAAAACCGAAAGGCCTGGGCAATCCTTTTCCATATGCAAATTGTTTTTATAAATTTGCAACAAGCAATTGTTTGTTGCCATCGATGTTGAATAGCAATTTGTATGGCAAAACACCGATACAATATTGCCAGAAGAATGTCAAATGGAAAGTAGCAAACATTTTATAAGGATTATAAATTTTTGCGTAGGAAAATATTTGATTTGTCTAATAAATTTAATTCAACCTCAAATTTAATCCTTGTTTATAAATAATTGCCCTTTAGTAGGCAATAAAATTTCAATGAAACAATTACATGTCAGCATTATCTGTTTAACTTTTAATTACAAATGATTTAACTGACAAGTAAATTGTATGGAAAAACGCAAACAATAAAACTGTATGTCAAATTTGGAGCAGAAAAGGGTTGAGCTGAATTAACCACGAATAGGGTTAATGGTGTGGGATTGAATGGAAATTACAGAGAGTTTCTAGGACACGCATGCATTATTTGATGCCAGTTAGCTGGCTTGATATTGTAGAATCTCTGAGCAAAACATTCGAAGTGGAGATGAGCTTATATTTGTGACTTTAATTTGGAAAATGCCTTTGGCAAGTGCTTTGTATACAGTCAAGATTAAATTAAATTTTTATTTACATTACCATATTTACCAAAAAGTTAACTACTCTCTCATATATTTCGGAATGGATTTAATTCTAGTTAAAGCCATTTGCGAACGGATGGACAAATTAAAAGCTGTGCACATATTCCACCATCAATGACAGAGTGTGGCTTTTATTTAGAAAAATATTATACAAAAAAATAAAATATTATATGCACCGTAAATTCATGTTCTATGATATATTTCTAGGCCTATCTATAATAGATTGATATATATATAGATTGATTACGTTAATTAATCGTTTTAATTGCAAGTCAGTGCATTTTTAAACATAATTCTGATATATACTCTACATTTTTTTCTACACTTTGAGAGTCTTGTTGGACCCGCATAAGTTTGCATTTTAATATATTTGTTTAGCCATTAATTTTAAGAGTTTAAAAATATTTTGAAGATACAGAATTTGTTATGCATTAATCTTAATATCTTAATTTTAATCATCGGTTTTTAAAATATGTATCAGCACCGTGTTTTAATTATTAAGTTATTATTGATTATAGGTCATTTAAATTGATACATGAGCGATAAATCGTTTTTTTTTGTAAAATCTAATTACTTAAATGTCCTGTAACGCAAATGCCGTTAAGTCAATCACATTGACTAATCATTCCTGCATTAAACATTTCTATCTCGACCATGACACACCTGAAACCGAAGGCACATATATAGTATGTACGCAGGGTTTGTTTAGCCTTCAGTTGACCAGTTGGACCTGGATAAGTTAACTGGGACTTGGCCTGGCATCAGAAATCAGGAATCAGAGTGGAATCAGGACCGTAACAATTGCAATAGAATCGTCGTTAATTACTGTCTGTGCTTGCGGTTCTCGATGGGCTCGGATTGAGTGGGGGGCGGTAATGCAGAATGGGTGCTTTTCAGTGGGTGGGTGGTTGGATGGTTGGATGGTTGGGTGGTGGGGTTTTTGCCAGTGGTGGGCTTAAAAGAGCAAGACAAATACGAGCATGTGTCTGGTCCGGGCTGAAAGAAGTTGTGAGTTGCGCAGCGTGGAGGCGAGGCATCGTTAAGCGTTGCTGCCAAGTGGCAAAACTCAAATAAACATAAACGTGCACACAGGCAGGGGCGTGGCTGCAGAAGGAGGGAGCCCAGCCACAGCTTCAGCTACAGCTACAGCTACAGCTACAGCCCAAAATCTCTGAGCTGGTTTGTTGTCTTTGGCTGTGTGTCTGCCTCGCCCGGCATGGAAGACTCATTAAAATGCAGTGCGAGATAATAAGCATTTTAATTAAATATTTAACAAGAATAAGTTTATCACAACACGAACGGAAAGAAACAGAAAGGGATGGCTATGGCTGTGGCTGTGCCTGTGAAAAGAGATGGGTTATGCCCAGGTAGAAAGAGACGGGGCGAGTGTAATGGCTTGTAAGCGTCTGCCTTCGAACAGTTCGAAAAAGGGGCATTTGTGGATGGGGCCATGAGACTGCTCATTTGCCCCTGCTCTCTTTTTCCGGCAATATTTTGATGTAATTTGAGCGCCTAATTGGCGCACGTGCTAAACTGACGATGGCAGGTTCAACTTTTGCCAGGGATCCTGTTTCTCCTACCATTTCCCAATTCCCATTTCCCAGTTCCCCATTTCTGTTTCTGGTTCAGGTTCAGTTACTTGGCTCCTGGCTTGGGTAAATATTTGCAGAACTTCTCGCTAACCGTCTCCTGTTTACATCTCCTTCCAAATCTACTTGCAGAGGCTTCGGCTTTGTCACATTCAGCGATCCAAATAGCGTAGATAAGGTACTCACCCAAGGCACACACGAGCTGGATGGCAAAAAGGTAAATGTTGCACACGAACTCTTCGCTTTTTTCGCCCCTTTTTCTTTTTTACTTATTTTCCAAACAGAAAACTCCACTTTAACTATGCTAAATATTTGTTCAAAAGCATCATACCTCCCAATATTTCCCCCTTCCCTCTATTGACAGCAATTAGAAAGTCAAAGCATAACACAGTATAGGTAAAAAAAAGGTATACAAAAGTTGCCAAAAAAAACAACAGGGCCTAAAGAGCCAAACAATTTTTAATTAGCTGATATGACAGGCGCGATGAACATCAAATGAGCTGCAATCGTTATTGTTTAGTTGCTCTTTGGCTAAAATTTCACTTGTTAGGACTTTTAACAAAGTACCTGATTCTTTTTTGTATATTGTTTCTAGCACAAATGTTGACATCCTTTTTTATTTAAATTTGTTGATTGATGAACCGTTTCTTAGGTATTGGTATAAAATATACAATAAATAAAATTTCTAAATAGGTAAAATTTTAATTTTGTTTATTTTTCTTTCATATGTACAACTTAAATTCAATTGTATAAATTAATTCTATATTTTAATATATTAATCTTTCCGGAACCCACTTTGTTAGTAATTTTTCGTCAAGATTTCGTATCTCTATTTTATCCATTTAATTAATCAGCTTCGGCGAACGCTGTTCATTTCTCTGCATAAATACATTTCCGAAAGCCCCGTCCTTTCGTGTTTTGTATGGGTGAAGTCGCATTTGATTAGCTGGCGCGAAGTACAGTGGAAACCGTGTAATGATATACCGCACGCATTACGCATACGCGGCATTGGCATTAGCCTAATTGACTGAAGCTGCACTGTTTTGGTCCGTCCTTCGGTCCGTCCTTCGGTCCGTCCTTCGGACCGATTTCCATCCGATCATCCTTTTATGCTTGCCAACTGTAAATAAAATGCGCAGCCAGCATTTATGTGGAAATTTTTTTGAGCCGCTACCGCCAACGTTTTTGTTTGTCCGGCAACTGCATTTAAACGCGAATACGTGTAATGTTTATATCTATACACATACACACACTATATACACGTCTTCCTGACTTTCGGCTGGTCAGGGATTTTTGAGTTTCCGTTTGGCTGCACAGCGACGCAAAACGAAACGAAACGAAACGAATTCATTTCATTTCGTTACGGGTTTTCAGCCTGATGTATTTCAAAAAGGCAAAAGCATCGACATCCTCTAAACCGTTCGGCACTCAGCGCTGATTAGTTTTAATTTTAATCTAAAAATCAATTTCCCGCCGTGCGGCTTCTCTTGTTTTTCGTCCTGCAAACAGGAAATCAACACGGCAAACGGCACACGGAGCCAAAAACAAGAACAACCAGCCGCATGTCCTGCCTATCCTGTGACAGATTTTCCGTATATATTTGTGCGAATTATTATCGCCAGAGGATATTGCGTTGCTTCCTTGCTCCGTCATTGGCTTAAGATACCCGGATAAATGCAACAGCAGCACTTCAGCTGACAGGATTTAGTGCCCACCCTCGTTCCCTGATTTTTTATTTCAGCCGTCAAGTCGAGCTGTGTCCTTGCACTAATATGAAAGCCGCAGCTCGAACGACGAAGCCGGAAAATCGGGGAAAAGCGTCGGTAGAAGCTGAAAGATAGACCAGGCAAAAATGCTTAAAATTGAATTTTTATGATTTTTAATTATTTTTAATGACGCTGCTTATTGGGTAGAAGCTGTTCGCTTTTTTTTTCTCCTTACGCCCGCTGGCCGAGCAATTTGTTACGCGTTAATTCGTGCGTGCTCAGCTTGAAGTCAGCCACTAGTAGACACCACCCACGCACAGACCACCCACCACCCACCGCCCACACCCCTTGGGGCAATTTCATTTAATGTGCAGTGCAGGCTTATGCAAGATTTATGCTCGGCTATTAATATGAAGAGTTGTGCGAAATGTTCTTTTCATTTAAATGTCATTAAGCATACGATTTCCCTCGGATATTCCATCGACTCACACTCTCTGTCTTTCTTTTTTTTTTCCTCTCGCCCGCAGGTCGATCCAAAAGTAGCTTTTCCGCGCCGTGCACATCCCAAGGTAAGTACCAGAGGAAAAACCAATAACTAAAATATGAAAATAAGTTACCGAAAATATATTAAAGAGAGGAGACTAACTATGAAAATAGAAGATTTAAATACACTCTTCTTATGGGTTTTATATGCTATGGCAGATTGATTGGGTCACATAACATACCTTACATTTCCAGGTATGGTCCTTATTAAATTAATAGATCTTAGTAAATCAATCTCCTAGATAAGTACAGCCATGTAAAGTTACCTGTTGATGGTCTAGTGTCTGATATCTTGACCATGCCTCCTTGATAGTCCAACCAAATTCTCGGTAAACATGTATTACCCCTTAAGAAGGGTACATGAAATGTCAAAAAAATCAGCAAGCCAGCAAAAAAAGCAGTCACCAAAAATGTCGCCTGCTTTCGTGGTTTTCGGGGTGTGTGGTTCGAGTTGGCCTGGCAAAAGGATGTGTCATAAGTAGCAGTAAATGGCAGATGAAATTAAAAACGGAAGATGGCAACAACAACAGCAGTGTGGGTCGGGGCAGAGCTGCCAAGTTGGGGCGAAGATAACTTTGTGTCTGACAGGCGTCGGTTGCTTTGGCTTCCTCCGCCCAACCAACCAACCACCCACAATTCTACCTTGACACCAGTTCTCTTAAAGTGATGATGACAACAAAATTTCGGCAAAAATGCGAAGGCATAAGGGGAAACCGCTGCGAACTGCTGCTGTCTGCAGCCATCGCATCCACCCCTCTCTTTCTTCCGCCGATTCCCTCTCTCTTTCTCCACTTGCCACACGCACATTTCCTACCGGTTAGACAGCGCGTTACAAATGTGCCTCTGTTTTAGGTTTTTTCTGTCCTCTTTTTGACTAGGATACCCTTTGCCCAGAAAGAGATCAATTTGAATATTGTTGATGGGGACAATTGGTTGAAAGTGTTGTATATTTAAAAAATTAAAAAAAATATTAATAAGCCATAAATTAATATTTTGACCCATTTAATTAGAAGTACTAATCGAAATTGGTGCATTAGTGCACTATTTCACTAACAACTTCCATTCAATGATGTAGTAGTAATGTGTGTGTGTCCCTTTTCCAAATGTTTCCAAAGTCTAAAATTAAAAATATATAAAGTCATTTAAAAAGAAAACAAGACTACACATTATTAATGTTTTAAAAAGTATTTTCATAAACACTCTATTTAGGAGTATGTACCTATTCGACTTATTCAGTTGGGTAACTTTTTCCCGAATCGGCTAAACGACAAACCGCAGAGCACACCAAAAATACGCACGCAAATGGCGCACACACACACACACTGGTTCAAAGAACGCTCAGACACACACACAAATATAAGACAAGGAAACAAAGTCGAAGGCAGCGCCTCCTGTTTCCTGCCACCCCTTCTCCTTCCCCTTCGTCTTCCCCGGATCCTTCAGTTGACGGCAACTCTCCTTGGAGCTATATGCGTGCTTATCAACACGCAGCTGATTTCCGTTTCCAGAGGCGCGTGCCTCCCGAACACTGCCCCACCAACCTCCTGCGAAATTACCACCCCCATCCCCCGAACACCACCAGCACGTCCCCCTTCCCCTTCCCCTTACCCTTCACCCCACCGAACAGCAGCCAACAATTATTTACGTAATGTTATTATTATAATATTTTTTTAAACGCATTCTCACTGGATTTGCGCGGCGTTACCAAGAAGTAGACAGCCACAAGGATGAAGCCAAAAAGGATGTTATGGGGGATGGTGGTTTAAGGTTTTAAGACGAAAAGAGGCTAAAAGGGGCGGCATGGGGCGGCATGGGGCGGTAAGGGGGCGTGGCTAGGACGTTGGCTATGCGGCATTTGCGAGTGGCTTTGTGTTTTCCTGGGGATCTGCAGCTACGCGCGAATATCCTCTCGCATATTAAAAGGCGTTTAAAAACATAAATCCAACGTCTAACGGCTGCTTATGAAAATTACGAGGAAAAAATGACTGACAGAGCGGGACGGCAAATGGGGTATAGAAAGAGACGGCAGGAGGCTTAGTGCGAGGCAAATGGCAGGGACACCCAAAGGAGTTTTCCTACGCAGTACGACAAAATACGAAGAAAAAAAAAAACAAGAGATATCTGTAGGAAAAAAAATTTGCCTGCGACATCAAAAGCAAAAAAAAAAATAAAATGGGAGAAGCGCCCCGAAAAAAAGGGAAAGGGCAAATGGGGGGCACAATGATGGGGAGGACAATTTCTCGCACCGTTTGCCAGGACCAAAAAACCGACGACCAGGCTGAGCAGGAAGGATTGCCCACAAAATGCGGCCCAAAATGCTTGCGGTTGCAGCGAAAGTTAAGAGTTTTAAAAAAGGAGCGTAGACGTAGGCAGTTGGGGGGTCTTTCTGGGACTGAATGGGGGCTAACGGTGGGGAACGGGAAAAACATAATGAAATGAAGCATACTAAATGACGCTGCTAAGTTTTCGCTGGGACACACTAACACACGCAGGAATGGACACTTGGAAAAATGGCAAATACATTTTAATTTACAAAATTTTATTTAAAAAATAGAAAATTTAAGAAAATCGTGCAATTTTTGTAAGCTCGTAAAAGATAAGCATCAAAGTTTAAATAAATTTTAATATCCATTTAGAATAATATTACATTTTAGAATAATTACATACAAAAAAGGCCCAATAATCAACCCTATTTGTTACTGCATCAATTTCTAAAACTACATTTCTTAAAACTGAAACTAAAAACAAAAATAATCATATAAAATTATTTTTCCCGTGCAGTGGCACTCACACGCATACAGCGCCATAATGAAATGCGAAAAAATGATGATCATATTTTTGGACCATAAAATGCAGATGAGCCGACTAAGCAGAAAATAGTGTGGCAGACGGAGAAAAGGGGACATTCTCTGCTGGAGGGAATGAGGGGTGCTAAGTAGGCCTCTACTTACTCCACATCCCCTACTTTCACCCCCCTCTCACCACCACTTTCCCTTCGGCTTTTTTACACATGTCGCAAAACTCTTACCCCAACTTTAGTCGGAGTTAATTTCTTTGCTTTTTAAGCGCTCCTCACCATGAATATGAAATGTATATTTGTGTTAGTTATATTTTTTGGGGCGGTTGTGAAGAATATGATAAGAGGGGAGGGGCGGCGGGGGAGTGGCATACATATGTCATGTAAAAAAGTTCGCTTTTAATGTGCAAAATTGCTGGCGGACTAGGGCCATAAAAGTGCATGGGAATAAGTGAAATGGATTTTTGGGCTACGCTGTCCTGTCCCATATAAGAGCGCCATAAAAAAATGAATTTCCCGAACGGTCCGGGGCAGCAGATATAGTTTGAACTTGGCTAGGATTTATGGCTGTTTGTTCGGAACAAAAGAAAAGTGGAGGGACCCACATGAATCTCTTGGCTTATTCCTCTGGAGTGCGTGTGTGCGGAAAATATTCCGGAATCGTTGAGTTGGGTAAATCCTCTAATGTTGAGTTGAGGTGCGTACACGAGCAGGTCGTATAAGTGGATTATATGCATAGATCGGGTTTCGGGGTTGGCGTTGCTTGGATTAAGTTATTTTATCATCTTCAACCACATAGTTATGGACCAAATAATGGACCCACATAACCAGAGAAAATGCGTTTCACATAAATAAATACAGGTATTCAATAAAGGTTCTTGAGAACAATATTCTTTGTTGTTAAATAATCTGTTGTTGTGTTTTTCTTATCGATAAATAAATATATAATTAGATACACAATAAGCGTTTGCTTAAATGTAGTTGTATGCTTAGGATCTTATGAAAAAGCAGATGACAGTAAAAATTAATATAATTGACAGTACTCAATTATTTAATTGTAGTCAATAAGCTTCTACTTATTATTAATTATCAAAAATAAAATCGTTAATTCTTTACAGTAAATAAATTTGTATTACGGAAAGTTACAACAGCTTAGATGTTCATATATTTTATTATTAGATTTCAAAATAAAAGAATTCTGCAAGTTTGTAACTTTATTTTGACAGCTGGTAAATTACCATGGCTCACAAATTCTCGTAGGTAAATTAGACGTAAACAGTTGTTCGGCCCATATATTTCCAAGCGAATAATACTTTCTGACCCCTCCTCGGGGATCTCGTTGTGTGACAAATTCCTGACCAGGCGCAGACATCTCTTTCATTCGAGAGCCCATCAATGAAATACGCTGTGTCCTGGCATCGTTTTTTCCATTAAATTAACACGCTCGAATGTGCCACTCATGTGTGGGTCTGTGTTTCTGTGTGTGCTGGTTGTGTGAGAAAGTGTGTGTGTGTGTGGGTGTGGGGGAGTTGTACACTTACATTGTGCAAACTTTTCTAATTTAAACCGGCAGTTTCAGTCAATTGCCACAGCTTACCGCTTTCGACATGAGTTTTACTTTTTTAGTACCTTCGGGTGTGCGACGGATGCGATGTTGGCGCTTTTCATACAGAGCTGGTGAAACGGAGAAATGGAGAATTGGAGAAATGGTGAAATGGGGAGACACAAAAATTTCCAATACATTAAAAGTTGTGTGAATACACTTGGCAGAATCCATTATAACTCAGCCGAACTGAACTGAACTGAGCAGAACAGAACAGAACAGAGATGAAAGCCAGGCCATAAATCTAATAAATACGTGTGTTTCTCACCCCTTCACTACCCGGTTCATTCCCACTCACTTCCGGTTCCGCTTGCCGCCCTGTGCAATAACTTGTGAAATATGTAATCAATCAAGATGGAACAGTCGTCGAGGCAGCCAAACTATGTGGCAAGTATGCGTCTGACTGCAGTTTGAGGGCTTGCGGAGCTAAAGGGGGCGGGCTGGGGGTTAAAGTGCAGGGGGCCACCGGGTCGATTAATTCAACTTTCTGCTGCAGACAATGGCATGTGAAAAAGTCAAAAAGTTGAAAGTGCAATTTTGTCGTTATTATTTTACATTTACAACAAAAGAGCAGTCGAAAAGCCAACCGAAAAAAAAGTAAAGTTACTCAACTATTTTATGCGACG